AGGAAAAAGTAGATCATTCAGTATTATGTTATGGATGGGGTGAAGAAAATGGAGTTAAATTTTGGTTATTATAAAATAGTTGGGGATAATAATGGGGAGAAAATGGAAATTTTAGGTATTTTATTTATTTAATTATTATTTTAAAGAATGAAAAGAGGAGTTGATGAATCTGCCATTGAAAGTATGGCTGAAGCAGCAGAACCTATCATTTATTCTAAATCATCTGGAGAATTTATTGAATTAAAATAATCTAATTTAAGAAAGTAATGACAATATATATTTAATAAATCAAATCATTTGTTTTTTTATTTTTTAAGGATTGAAAACAGAATGATTTCATCTCCTTTATTTTCATCTTTATATTTCATATCCAATCTTGGATTTATTTTTTATTAATCTATTGCATTTGTGCAATTTGATAATGTGTCTTTTATTTATACTACTTCTTCACTTGGATCAAATACGCATACTGTTATAAAATTATCAAACTGTATTCCATATCCAGTTCCTTATTTTATCAAACGTCCTTTTCCATCAAATCTATCATCTCTTATTGCTTTATATTTTATTTTCCTCTTCTCTACTATTATTGTTTCAAAATCTTCAGGTTCCTCAGGTATGTCTTCTGTATCATCTACCTGGGCTCTACTCAGTGTTAATCTTGGTCCCAAAGCAGAATTTCTCATATTTCTCAGTGAATAATTAATAGTTTATTATATTCATTCATCATCTTTTCTTCTTTGTAAGTGAAATTTGAAAAATTTTAATATTTCCCTATTTCATTTACAGGAGTATCTTGAATTGTACTTTTTCTAACTAAATTTTGATCAAAAAATTGAAAAGGCTTATCATTATACAGAGGTGCTTTTATTTCCCTCCTTTCTAATTTCACAAAATCTATATCTTTAAAAAAATCATGTTTTTAGATTTCTTTTCCATCACCAACTGATCCAAGTCTTTATTAAGGATTCTTTTTTAATAATTATTTCAGCAAATCCTGAGCTTCCTCTGATATATCATCTGGAATTTCAAATTCTTCTATTAGAATAGATTTCATAATCTCTTTTTAGTTATCATTTTAAAATGGCAATCTGCCTATTAACATTACATATAATAAAACACCATAAGTCCACCAATCACATACTTTAGAATACATATCCCCTGAAATGATTTCTGGAGATAGATATTCTAAAGTACCACAAAAACTTTTGGCATAATTATCACCATAAGTACATAATTTACACAAACCAAAATCACAAATTTTAATATGACCTTCATTATCCAATAATATATTTTCTGGTTTTAAGTCTCTATAAATAATATTTTATTTATGTAAATAATCTAAACCTAATAAGATTTCTGCAGCATAGAATTTTACTTTTTTTTCAGACATTCTTCCATTTTTCTTTAAGTGATAAAACAATTCTCCACCAGGTACAAATTCTATAATAAAATATAATTTAGTTTGAGTTTAAAAAGCATAATGTAATTTAGTGATGAAGCAGCAATCTGAAATTTCTAATATCTTTCTTTCCGTTTTAATATATTTTTTTTAGTTAAGTGTTTGAATTTTGTTTTTACATACAACTTTCATTGCATATTATTATTGTGTTGATTTATGTTAGACTAACATAACCTTTCCATTTGTGCCTCTACCTAAATGCTATGTATCATCTCTATAAATACTCTAAGAATGGAAAATTCTTCTAATTATTATTTCCCCTTATCCTCATCATCTCTACAGAACAATTATTAAGAATCCTTTATTAAATTTTTCTCCATTGCTTCTCCTGATTATTGTTCAGTTTCTTTTATACAAACAGATCCCATTTATTATTAAATAAATATAAATATTAATGGTTCATTTTTTTTCTATATCAATTTTATTGGAAATTGTCATCTTAATAAAAATTCAAGTAAAAAAGTTTTTGATTATTTCAATATGATAATCATTTTATTATAATAAAAGATAATTCTTGTGAATTTTTTATTTCTGATAATCATTTATAAATCTATCAATATTCTTTTATATAAAAATTATTTTAAAACAATCACTAAAACCATAAATACTGAATATAGATTATTTATCATTTTATTTAAACTTTTTAATATAAAAAAGATAGAGAAATGCAGTTTCTGAATAATTGATTATTTTATCTTATTGAATGTTTGATTTAATTATTCAAATTAGTTTCTTTGAATTTCCATTAGATTTTATTATTCAATATATATATATAATAGATACTAAACTCTTTAAATAAAATTGCTGCTTTAGTAGATTGAAAAATTCGATTAAAAACAAAAGAAATAAATAATAAGTATCGATATATCAATCTAACATTTAATTATTTTTATTTAATCGAATACTCATAAGAATTAATCAACTTGTAGCGTTATTTTAATTATAAATAACATCAACAGGAGCCCCTTCTCTTAGATTTGATTTTCGATATAATTCATTAAGATTTAATGGTCCTGATTTTAACTCTTATTATGCAATAGGTGTTTCTTCAATTTATCTTTTAATAGAATATTCTTTGGTGAGTGATTGTCTTTTACCTTTTTCTCCTAAACATTCTTAAGTTTTTTAATTTGAATAACAACATGCAAATCCCCATCCCAAAACTTCATTCCAATAACTACCCCAAATTTAAGTATGTTAACCAATATATTTATCCTCTTCGTATTTTGATCTAGGTATTTATTTTGATATTTAAACAACTATTTGTTCTTCTTTTTTTTACAATTTCTATTCTTTTTTATCTTTCAAATTCAATTTATCAGATTAAATAGATAATTTAATAGTTGATGGAACTTTTTTAGTTCTTTCATAACAAAATTTTGCTAAATGATCTTTTGCTCCACAATTATTACACTTTTATTGATTGGACATATATTTAATAATGATTTATTTAATGAATATTATTTCATCCTTTTCCAAGTACATCATCTCTAAGAGATTCACAAACTTCAACTACTTCAGCTACAATATCTTCTGGAAGTGCTAAATTAACAAGAGTATCGCTTAAATGTTTTACTACTAGATTAAAATGTGTATCATCTATTCCTAATCCTCTATGTGCTTCTAACATATCTCTTCCCATATAATTTGAAGGTCTAAATCATTACTAATTATACCCTCCAAAAAGCATTGTAAGAAATGCTTACATCTAAGAATTCAACTTCTTCATATCTGACTTAACAAAAAAACTCTTTAATTTTGGATCATTCGACAATTTTTACAATAATTTATCAACTGTGAAATCAATTGCCATACTCTAGCCTAATCTTTCATAAATTGTTTTTTTCTATATTTTTATTTTTTATTTAAATACTTATATAACAACCCTGGGATTAAAAACTGTTTCAATTGGTGCTTAATTTTTTTAACTTGTATTATTAGGAATTGATAATTTGATTTCACTATCACCCATAAGATTCTTTTTAATTTAATCTTGTTATTTATTAAATTATTCATTTCCCATTAAATTTCTGGCAATTTATTCAGTTTAATCTATATCATTTTCTGGATTCTAAACTCTTTAGTATTTGTTATCAATAATTTTGGATTCAACTACTTATTTATCTTATACCTTTTCATCTTAAATAATATTAATAATATATACTAATTTAGATAGTAATAGGAGGTTGATTTTCATCAGCATCATATTAATTTGCATTGACTTAGATTGTGATTTTACCATTATTATAAGTATTAGTTTTTTATCCATTAATAGCTAGACACCAATCATATTAATAATCCCAATCATATCCATGTTTTTAGAATAATTCTTTGAACATTTTTCTAAGAAAACTATAATCAGGTTTATCTTCAAATCTTAAGGATCTACAATAATTTAAATATGTTGAGAATTCAACTATTAAAATGATAAATAAAAAATACTTGGTAAAGTCTTACATAAAACTTCAACAGGAGTAGTCATTTTTTTTTCCATGATTTTATGATATTTTTCTTATTTATTATTTGCTTTAATTCCTTACCAAGGTAGATAACTTCTTAATAAATAGACCATAACATATCCAATAGCTTCTAAATCATCTCTTCTAGATTATTCTATACCAAGATGTGCATTAATACTAGCATATCTTGCTGTACCCGTAAGATTTTTATTTTCTCTGTATGGAATATGTTAATGTGTTTTAGCATCTCTATATTTTTTACTTAAACCAAAATCTAGAATATACTGAGTATATTAATTTAATAAAATACCACAGTGTTTGATTTTCTGCCTAATCCAATAAGAAAATTATCTGGTTTAATATCTCTGTGTATAAAACTTTTCGAATGCATATATTCAACTCTTTAAATCATTTAATCTGCTAACATGATTACAGTTTTTAATGAAAACTTTCTTTAACATAAATTGAATAAGTCTTCTAAATTTGGTCCCAGTAAATCTATAATCATTACATTTAATCCAGCTTCTTATCCAAAATAATGAAATACAGGAATCCCAACTATTTTTTTTTATAATAAATCATACTTCCTCCTTACAATGCTTTTGTAACCTTTGCTTCAAATCCTAATTAAGGATGCTTTGATTTAATTTCTTCCTAAATTTATTCAAAATATTTATTACAAATTTTGCTGCCAATATTTCATTTGCTTATGTTGTTACTAAATAGATCTCACCAAAAGAACCACTACCTAATCTTTATTAAGTTGTATATTTTCCTTAATTCAATGGTATATTTTTTATTTCTGCTTGCATTTAATTTATTTTAAATATATATATTAAATATTTCACTTTTCATTTATTATTTATTACATTATCATCATATAACACTTATGAGAAATCAATAACTTACAAATACAACTTAAATTTCACCTAAAACTAACATTCAATCAACTACTAATCATAATAAATAACAATACAATCAATATTTTACAGAATTGTTATAGAAGAACTAAAGTTTAGTTTAAATATTTGAACAATCTACTTAAAGAACTTATGATTATCCATAAGTCAACCTTTAAAAACTTAGATCTACTTCTTCTTTTAGATAAATAAATACTAAAGATTCTAATACGAATTAATCAAAAATTCTTAATCCAATTGATGTACTTAAGTTAAAAGACATTCTCCATACAAACAATAAACCTAAAAAATAAATCAAAATCAATCCTTAAATCTCATAAAGAACATCGCCAAAGTGTAATACCTTACACTTAAACAATTTGCTGACTGTTAATAACTAGTTATTNTCTATACCAAGATGTGCATTAATACTAGCATATCTTGCTGTACCCGTAAGATTTTTATTTTCTCTGTATGGAATATGTTAATGTGTTTTAGCATCTCTATATTTTTTACTTAAACCAAAATCTAGAATATACTGAGTATATTAATTTAATAAAATACCACAGTGTTTGATTTTCTGCCTAATCCAATAAGAAAATTATCTGGTTTAATATCTCTGTGTATAAAACTTTTCGAATGCATATATTCAACTCTTTAAATCATTTAATCTGCTAACATGATTACAGTTTTTAATGAAAACTTTCTTTAACATAAATTGAATAAGTCTTCTAAATTTGGTCCCAGTAAATCTATAATCATTACATTTAATCCAGCTTCTTATCCAAAATAATGAAATACAGGAATCCCAACTATTTTTTTTTATAATAAATCATACTTCCTCCTTACAATGCTTTTGTAACCTTTGCTTCAAATCCTAATTAAGGATGCTTTGATTTAATTTCTTCCTAAATTTATTCAAAATATTTATTACAAATTTTGCTGCCAATATTTCATTTGCTTATGTTGTTACTAAATAGATCTCACCAAAAGAACCACTACCTAATCTTTATTAAGTTGTATATTTTCCTTAATTCAATGGTATATTTTTTATTTCTGCTTGCATTTAATTTATTTTAAATATATATATTAAATATTTCACTTTTCATTTATTATTTATTACATTATCATCATATAACACTTATGAGAAATCAATAACTTACAAATACAACTTAAATTTCACCTAAAACTAACATTCAATCAACTACTAATCATAATAAATAACAATACAATCAATATTTTACAGAATTGTTATAGAAGAACTAAAGTTTAGTTTAAATATTTGAACAATCTACTTAAAGAACTTATGATTATCCATAAGTCAACCTTTAAAAACTTAGATCTACTTCTTCTTTTAGATAAATAAATACTAAAGATTCTAATACGAATTAATCAAAAATTCTTAATCCAATTGATGTACTTAAGTTAAAAGACATTCTCCATACAAACAATAAACCTAAAAAATAAATCAAAATCAATCCTTAAATCTCATAAAGAACATCGCCAAAGTGTAATACCTTACACTTAAACAATTTGCTGACTGTTAATAACTAGTTATTATACTTAAACAATACTAAAAAAATATCCCCTAAAATAAAATCAATTAATCAATATCAAGTACAAGAAAACAATCTTCAATTTACCAATTAACTTATTAAAGAATTTAAAAAAGAAAATTTTAATTTAGATATTGAGACTCCGAGATTTTATGGAATGGCTTGATTCTTTATCAAGTTCATGATAAATATTACTTCTTTATATCATTAAACATCATTTATTAAACTCAAATCCTTATCTTCATATTCCAAATACTTTCTTCTTACTTTATTTTCATATTCCTCTTTTTTTATTTATACTATTTAAACTAACACTCTCCTTTTTATTTCATATTCAAGAAAAACCTATCAATAACTAATAAATACATTATTATTAAACATAAAACATTATTTTAAAATATATATTGAAGAATTTCAAATATAAGTTAAATTTTCATTTATTGATTAAATTTAACTTTTATTGAAAAAAAATATATTTTAAAGATAAAGGAGATGAATATCAAATTCTGTTAAAATAAACTTAAAATATTCGGAAAAAAAAAATTATTTTCTTTATCAACATAATATTAATCAATATCATATAATAAGGATATATTCTGCATTTAATTAATAATCATCGAATATTTAAAAATTAATAACAAACCCCTTTTAAAACACTTCTTATCAAAATAAAGCTATTCTGGTAAGTTTTCATTTTTAATTTTCGGAGTTTAGTTAGACAAATTGCTGTCATTATTATTTTATTAGATAATTAAATTACAAATGTCAATTTGTATTAGTTTAAATATTTATGAATGCAATTCCTTATAAAAATCCTATATAATCAAGGATGAAGACATCTTAAACTTTGTTGATTACAAGAATTTGTTTTCCATAAAAAAATGATCATATTTTAGCTCCTTAATTGATATAACCAATAAACAAATAAGGGAATCTTTAATAACAAAAAATAATAACAAGGAAAGACAATAAACATATTTAAAATAAATTCTTTTAAGTATAATCTCATGTTACTAATTTATTCAAAATATGTAATTTAGAGGATATATATTAACCGAATTTCCAAAAAATTTTAAATGAAAATTCTCACAATACTTTGAGGAGATTTAGCACAAAAATAATTAAAAATCAGGGTAGTCTCACAAAGAGATGTGAAAATTAAGCGAGAATACGCTCATACTCCACTGAAATTTAAACAAATAGAACAAAAAATGTTTATGAAAAGTCACCAATTAAGAAAGTTAGATTTTATGAAAAAGTTGAGTGTTGGTAATTAGATCAGGCTAACGATATTGATTGTAATTATAGATACTTTGAACCAATAAAATTAAAATGATTTTATTATTTACAAATCAAAATAATTATTAAATAAAATTTAATATAAACTTTTGTAGTATATATTTATAGATGAAATTACGAAATAAAGAGATAAAAAAATTACTTAGATGTTTTTTCTGTTATTTTTTCTTGACCTCTTGTGTCTTAAGAATATAATATATATTAAATAAGAAAATCTAATAATGATATGATTTCTAATGTTTTATAATTGATAATTAACCATTTCATTCCATTACAAGCTCAATAAATTGAAGTCTTTTTAAATTTTAATTGTATGTTACAATTATCTTCCCATTAGCTGATATGGCTCCAAAAAGGTTTTCAGCATTATCTAATTCAATGGCATTTATAGTCCAATTTTAAGATTAGGTTTCCGTTTTGATTATATATAAATGTTTTTTATGTTTAACATATGCAGTGTTATTCCTTTAATTGTAAACAATAGGAAAATACATACAATCTGTGATATTAGTAGAATTAGCTAATGATAATTTTTTCTCTTTTTATTCAACAAAAGTTTAGTTTTCTAGTGAAAAAACGCAAATGTTTCCTTAACCTGCTTTTGCACTTACCCAAATAAACGTATTTTCATTCAAAAAGGATAATCTGTAACCTGTACCTTTGATTTAATTTTCAACAAATTATTTGAATTTCCATTAATCATTCTAATATTCCCAAATAACAATTTTCTAATTCTAACTACAAGATATTAAAAATGTATTTTGTTAATTTAAGCTTAAACTATAAACATCCGAATTATGTTTTTGTAATATTTATTAGAATTTGATTTATTTTTATGAAATATCAATATTCCAGACACATATTTTTGAATCACTGCTACCAGAAAATAGTTTATCTTCTTTTGAATTTAAAATTAAACAAGAAATTCTTTAATTATGTTTTTAATCTGCTTAGATGCTTTCCCATTAATTTTAATTCTATTCCTTCCATAATCTAATAGATGAGTCTTCACATCCAGAAATGATACAATTACTGTCTTTGTTAAAGACTACACAATTAATATAATCATTATGACCCTTTAAAGTGGCTATCTATTTTATTTCTGTTTAATTCATATTCCATAAAATTAAATTTTATTCACTGCAAGTAATAATTTTTGATCCATCTTAATTTATAGCCATACCTATACTTAAAGCGTCTTATTCTATAGTTTTTTTTAAAACTTTCTTTAACTCTAGACATTAATCAGGTTATTATTTTTAGCCTTAATTAGGTTTCAATTTTTTATCTTAATCAGGTTATAAATTCGAAAAGTTATTTGATATTTGAGATATTAAATTTTACATTGAATCTATAACTTGTTGTTGTAAATCATCACTTTTTATTTCATTTTGACTGATTAATCTTTCAGCCATCTCATTTATTTAGCCTTCATTATATAAATTAGCAAGACTATTCACAGTTTCAAATTGTTTTTTCAATCCTTTTAACATAATGATCCATAATTAATTTATTTATTTTGAAAATTAATTAACAGAATCTAATCTCATTTTATTTAAGAACTATAATTTTTCTTCAATTATTTTTTATAAGTTATTTTATGAATTTTAGATAACCTCCTTTTGTTTTGAATCAAATTATTTCCATTAATCAATAAAATCTTCAAAATATTCTCCATCTCTTCTCTTACATTATTTACAAGCTGCTCTTTGATCTTTATTGATGTTCGGTGCCAAATTTACAAAAGTTATTTTTTCTTTATGCTATTAACATAATGCTTTATATTCCTAATTATTATATATTATTAATTACATTACTAGAAGAGATTCTATTGTTAGATTATGTAAAATCACTCAAATTAATTTAAATTACATTGACCAATGATTTTTAGCAATCTGAATATTCTTTAAAAAGGAAAAAATTATTTAATTAAATATCAATTTTTTAGAAGAAAGCATTGTTTATTATATGAATCCTTTCAATAATTTATACTTACTCTTCAGAAGCATTTCCAGTAATCATTTTATCCAACTCCTCAATGAAACTATAATTTTCAGTAGTAGATTTTTTAACTTTTTATAATTATTCTAACCATGTTTTTGCATTCTTTGTTATACTTTCCAAAGCTTAAAATGCATTATCTTTTAATTTATTTATTTCACTCTCCAAAGATTTTATATATTTTTCATTTTCCTAAATAGCAGGAGTAATTTTCTCTATCATACTCTTTTATTTTGCATGTGCTCTATCCATAGCTTCTTTTATAGGCATTAATATTTTTGCCCCAAATTATTCTGATTAACAGACTTTGCAAATTAACCTTTAGTCTTTACTTAACTAAGGATCCCAAATAACCATTTCTACAGGTGCTGTATGATTTTTATTAGAACATTTAAGTTCTTTTTCTATTAAATTTGGTTCGAACATTAAAAAAATTAAATTATAAATATTTTATTTATTTAATTTCAACAATCAAAAATTAGCATTTCTACTTTTCAGCCAATCACTTTTTAAGAAATATAGTATGAAGCTTTATCATCTTAATCAGAAAATAATATCGTTTCAGAAATCTTCTTATTACTATTAAGATTAAAACCACTAAAATATCCAGAAATTTCTTAGAGGCATTCAAATTTATCATTCAAATCAATTTAATATATAATTACTTTTTCTTCAAATCTAAGAAGCAAATAATTTTGTTTCACTACAATATTTCATTGATAAAATTGTTTTTTATTCTAAAATCTTAGCAAAAGAGGCAAAAGTATATTTGTTTCCTATCTATTGATATTAAAATATAAGAATTTTACCTTCATTAGATCCTAAATATATTTTTTTACTCCCTATCGCCATACCAGTTACTTTTTCTTATTTTATAAAGATATCGATTATAATTCAGGATTTCGTTAGAGTTTTTATAAATATGTAACTATCCAGCTATGATCAAAAATAATTAATCAGTTTCTTTATCTATTTAAAAAACTTCCCTTTATAATTTCACTTTTTTACTAGCAACTATATCTTGTGAACAGTAATAGATTTTAATGATATCATCATCTCCACTTGAAAATAAATCTATGTTAGAAAAATTATAAATTACAATGGGCTCTTTATTAAACCTTTTTTCCCCAAGAATTTGTTGAATATTAATTTGTTGAGATATCTCCGTTATATATCCTACAAATAATTAATTGGTTATTTCATTTAATGCCAAAGCAGTAACTTACTCATTAGCATTTTCCTCTTGAACATCTTATCGTCAATTGATTTTATTTCTCTATTCTAAAATTGGCTAAAAGGATATTGCCTTATATAAAAATATCTCATTTTTAATTAAAAACTGTCGAAGTTACAAGACTAGTTTTATATTCATTCTACTTTGTAAATCTTACAATTAGCAAAAATAACTTTTATCAAAATTTTGAAATTATTTATTTCTTAATTTTTAAATTGAAAAAAAGATTTATATTTATCAGCTGTTTAAATTTATTATTAATTTATATCACGTTATATATGGCGGTAAGGCTAAATAATTATTTTAACAATTAATATATTTTTCAGTATTTTGAATAGTATTGTTAAAATAAAAATAAAATTTTATTTTGAGTATTAACATCCTTTTTTTGCTTAATTAATTTATCACCATCTATTTTTGTATTTCAAAAT